GCAGCTTCCTGAAGTGTCAACACGTTACGAAGATTCTACAAAACGTCCGGCCTCACCATAACACATATGCGCGCCAGCAGCCCAGCAGTTCAGCGGATCAACCACCGGCATGTGATGATAGCCCATTGGCATTCGCTGTCTAGATGTTGCAAGCACGCCGCCTCGCTTCCCAGGCTTCCCACCTCCCTGACGATACATTTCTTCTTTGCTGTCCTTGCGTTCACTAGCAAAGGAGACAGCATTGACTTGGAAGAATGCAAAGGGAAGCTCTTTTGGCAGGTCGTCAGACAAAAACCGCATGACATCTGGTAAAGCACCAACATAAGGTGTCTTCCGGGCTATAAGATACTCATCGGGAGCATGCAGCAGCGCAACCCATCTGCTGCGTGCAGCGTGAGAGGTTAGACAATGGGCATACGCCAGCATCTCTGTGCAGTATGGGTGTGCCTTGGAGATGTTCTCTAGCTGCACGGACAGCTGCTTTGGCCACTCTCTGAAGTAGGACACGGTGTTCTTCCGCCAGCTGTTGGATTGTGTCCAAGGCTCCATCGCAGGAGCAAAGCTCCCATCGACGTCATAAATATCACCATGGCTGAAGCCCAGATAGTCCAAGTGATAGGCCAGCCAATCCTCCATCAAGTATGGCCATTCCTCAGACATTGAGTTGAAGCTGTACAGTGGCTGACTGCAAAATGAGATAGGTAGCACAGGTTGCTGAACGCGGCATAGCTCTAGATGAAAAAGGAGCCTCTGGTTTCGTCCAGGCAGATGCAGCCACAATCGCATGCGAAGGCGTGCAGGCCAGCTGAAGGGGCGATTGCGCCACCGCTTGATCAACCGAAGTTGATCAATGGCACATGTTGCGAAGCTTTGCCGCACCTCCCCAGTGTCAAAGCGCGCTAGCCGCCCCTGAGTCCATGATGCATTTCGACTTGTACGAGTGCCGTCCACTTTGCCGACACCACAGAAAACCTTGGTGCCCACCGGGAGACCAGCCCCGAAACACTTCGCATAGGAGACGTGCCGGGCATGACCAAAGTGCTTTGCGCCGTGAGGTAGCTCTGCCAGTGACAAGTCCCAAAGGCCATCATGGCAAAGCAGCGCTACTCGCAGCGACAGTGGTCGATGAAGGCGCCCAAGTTGAGGTTGCTCAGACACAACCGAGGCTGCGAACACAGATATGCCTCCAACGTTGGACGTATTTGTCGCCTGTGGGCACAAGACGAATCGAGGCCAATGCTCCTCTGATGCAGTTGCCCCGGCGAAACTGCATGATACAGCGATGAAAGCATGAAACCACTTCAACATGCACGTCCATCGCAGGTGGCTTCAGACCCTCGTCCATGCAGACTGCGACAGAAGATGCAGCAGTCAACGAGCACTCAGGCTAGTCTAGCGGCTAGTTCGGCAGTGGTGGATGGTTTAAAGTGTCTGTGTGCACGTTCAGGAACTTCACATACATCCTGCAACATTGTGTTCAGGTATAGCTAGTATATTATATATACTAGCAACAAATGCCATCGTATGCCAAACACGACCTCCCGCCTCACAAAGGCTAAGCAAACAAACGATTTCGTGCCGAAGTGGTGCTTTTGGTATGCGGTTGATGCCACGTCTGACACTTCCTTGAGGGACAAGCCAACGCCAACAAAAGCGAGACCAAGCGCGTGGACGTGCCAAAGCCCAAACCCAAACCCCAAAACCCCACACTCCTGGAGCCCTGAAACCCGACACCACCCTCCTTCCAAAAGCCAGGTTCTCTTGAAAGGACCAATATCGACCCCCCCCCCCCCCCCCCCCCCCGCGGCCCCCTCATCCTGTGATAGATCAATGGCTTGCAGCTTTCGGACCTTGTCCGACCCTACTACCATCATGACTTTAGCAACCTGTCGTCATGGGAGGTTGAGATTCTTGTGATTTCATTCAGGGCTTTTGTTCAGGATTTCAGCTTTCGTCTTGGGATTGAAGCTTTGATGGTGCTTCTGGGTTGAGAGCTTCATGTCTGAAGTCCCAGGACGGGGTTTCTGCTCGTTTACCATTGTATAAGGGAAGGGGTTTTCGAGTTAAAGAACTGAGAATGATTCTCTCGCTTCGAGGCTTTGCCTGACACTTCGGCATGTAGACCGTCTATGTACACTGGCATCTGCCTCGGAGATCAGGTGACAGTCACCGTCCGACTGACCTGCGGGATGTTCTGCACGGGCAGCATCTCTTTGCCATGGAACACGCAGCTCGGCCTTCTCTCACCATTCTCCGAGTCCATGTCATCCAATCCTTCGTGCAGAAACACAAGAATGCCCTTAAACGGCTCGTGCTCAATGCTGGGCGCCACCATTCTACATTTCGCACACACCATGAGGGCGTCGAAGGAGTGGGATGAGAACAGTTCGAGAGCGGAAGAGAGTCTCTGTATGCAAAGGGGGAGGGCCTTGAATTCGGGCCCGAGGTGCTCTCACCTCAGGCCACATTCCAGCAAATTACGTGGTCACAGTGCTTTTCGGAGGTCGCGAATGTGATTCGAGCCTCTTGCAGATTCATGTCGTGGTGCTGCGGCAGCAAGATCTATACTTGGCCCAAGTGAGAGCTCCTTTTTCTTTCCCGCAAGCGCGCAACAAAGTCCGCTCACAAACAGATGCATGGCAGTCTGCATGGGAACGGCCCTGATGCTAGAGGTCACGTTGCCAAACTGGCATCTCAGCTCGCTAGGCTGATTTTTCAATCGTTGTCTGAAAGGTCATGCCAGGCCCAAGGCCCTCAGGAACGACCATGCCATACTCCACGCCTTTGCCCAGAGGCCCGACTTCTCGGACAGTGAATTCATGTGACTTGTCTTCTCAAGCTCCTTGAGGCCAGTACCGTCGAGCGAAATACTGAAAGCCTCTCCGGGCTGCACGCCCTGCGCACAGCACACGTAGCACGACAATTCCGATCATCTGCGTCAGTCATCATCATGTCAACTCATGTGCACGACTTATGGCCTCTGGTACGGTGACTTCCTTATGACGAGGCGTGGTCATGCTCCGCGCGGCGCTCTGCATTTCACAGACATTCAACAAAAACTCTGTACATTGCTGAGCTCTCTGCGAAAACGCTGCCGGTGCTGGGGGGTGGTGGCGGCGGAGGGGGAGCCTAGCATCGGCAGCTTCATCATCAACCCCTTGCAAAGATGCTTTATACGGTTTCTTGTTTGCACGTTTCGGTGGAGATCTCGACTTCTCCATTCAGCATTCTCTTGCCACGGAGCGGGAGACTTGTGGTTGAGAAGCCTTATGGTAGGGGGCTGAGGTATGGCTTTGGATTCTGCAGCACTGGACCGATCTGACTCGATACAGCTTAGAGTATAGCGGTTTGTCCACAGGGGTTGGACTTTGCAGTTCTTCGTTTCTCCATCCAGCTTCTGTCGCTTGAAGTGCACTAGCCTGAGACTGCAGACTTGACCCATGCCAAGTCTTCATCTCTGAGCGCGTTAGAGCGAATCGAATCACAAGCGGGGCACCTTGCGAACGCGGACTTTGCGTCGCTCGCGGATTCGCCTCTTGAGGGCGAAGATGGAGCTTATCCACCTGAATCCCGAGCAGAACTTCGCTGGGAAGTCAACTTCTAAGAAAGCCGAATCCCTTGGGCATCTTTGCAGACCATCACTGTACACCCAAGCCACTTCTGGTAGTCGACAGCCTCCAGCATCCTTAAATGCACAAAGCACTTAAGGCGATTACGGATTTTCATGTTAGGCACGACCTGATCTTTCGTGGCAAGGTGCATCTCGACTAGATCGACTTCTGCTGCAGCATCCTCACTACAGTGCATTGGGAGCAGCCATGGCCAAATCAAGTGCAGACAAAGCAAACACACGTCGTCCTCGCCAGCAAGACCATCCTGTCACGGATACAAGGCAGACTTAAAACTTCAAAAGCAACAAGAGGATCATCGGCAAAAGCTACAAGTAGCATGCTACAAGCTGTCCTTAGCAGCTCGGAGAATCAGTGCGAGGTCGTCAGTGGTGAGGCCTGTTGCCAGAATTCTTTGGGGATCTGCTTCAATGTGCCCCGAATGTATCCCAACTACTCGCAGTATCTATTGCGAGGCGTCTGTGCCTTCTTCAGCCAGCCAGCCCTCGACCTCCGCCTCAAGCTTTGTGCTAAACTCCTGATTCGGCGACTTGATGCTGAGCGACCCTCCAGCTTAAAGACGTTCAGATACGTCCACAGGGTCCTTGTGAAGGGTTGTGTAATGAAGAGCATGTTCATCCTCCGTTGCCGTGCAATTGTATGATAAGCGAAGCTTTATAAGGTGAAAACGTGCACTGGCCGTAGCCTGGTAGTCATCGAAGTACTGGCTGTGACCGCGGAAGAAGTCGTCCAGGGAACGTCCGAACCCCTGGAGTAGCACGATGCAGCAGCATCTGCCACGTGGGCCAAGCATCGTTGCGCCTCTTCTGCCAGGAGCCATTTCGTCAGTTTAGCCGCCAAGACCTGCAAGCGGGGCACGTCCTGACCGAACTGTTCCGTAGCAGCTTCATGAGGCGTCAATACTTTCACTGCATAAAGCCGACTGTGCAGGGAGGTCCTCCTCAAGCGTAGACATGTGGCCAAATCTCGCGAAATGCTGAAGCCATTGGGAGCAGCAGCACGGTCAAAGCTGTTTTCAAGACTCGCCAAAGAATAGTTCGGCAGCAAATGTTATTCAAAGGCACTTGTTTGGCTTGGCTGGGGAGTTAATTGGACCTCTTTCTCTTAGACTTTAGCAGACAACGTTAATATGTATGGGTAACAAAACGAGGAAGCATCGCGTCTTGTCATGGTACTTCTCTAGTAGTCTCTAAACTCTAAGCATCCTGCTCTACTCTAGTGACTCAAGTGATCTCTAGAGTCCTGACGTCACATCATTTGCTCGTGGAGCTTCTTGGCTGTGAGCAGATCTTTGCAAGAATGCGGAGCAAGGGAGGGCTTAGCAGTCTGCATGCACAAAACATCAAGCAACAACAGCCCGATCATTCTCTGCAAGTCATTCAGACACTAGTGTTAGTGCTCAGCCGCGGATTCAAAATTGAAGCCGCGCGGATTCCTGCGGAAGCCGGGAAACTGCGGAAGGGGGAAACTGGAAAACGCGGATCCTGCAAACTGGAAAGCGCGGATTGGGACAAGTGGCTTGAATGGGTCCCCACCCCCCCTCCCCAGCCCTCAACCCACCAGCTCATTTCTGGAATGAAGCAGTTTCAGTTTCTTGAACCGCGTGCCTTTCTGAATTGGGCAGCTTCCTGAATCGCGTGAAGACATTTTCCTGAATCGGGCAGAATGGCCGAAGTTTCCTAAATCCGGGTTTCAAGAATCCTGGCTTCCTGAATCGCGCCCAGTTTCTGAATCGGTCGAATCCTAAGTAGTAGTTAGTTGTTCAGAAAGCGGAGGCAAGCCGGCTGGGAAGGCAGCGTTCAATTTTGTCGGCATCCCCGTTGCTCTGGGCCTCGGTGCAAGACAGCCTTCTGAAACTCAGGTCCGCAACGCATTCGGTCTCACCACTCCAAGTCAAGTATGATCAAAAGCCCCACAAGCCTCCGAGGAGATCTCGGCCTCAGTCAGGCGCAACCTCGTGCAAATCTGAAGACGGCTTCTCATGCACTTCGTGCCTGACTTGCGTACAATCGTCTACACTTCTGTGTCTTCGAGACAGCTGGTCTGAATAGTTGAGACATGAATGGAGAAGTTTTTGAACGGACTTCCCGTCTGCGAAAATCGCTGAAGTGTTTGAGCTAGATGTCCAATCTCAAGGCACCTGTGCCTGATGACAGTCGCTTCAGTTTTCCCCACCACAATCAGATGCATTATTTAAGCCGCAGCGAACAAAGCGCGAAACCGGCCTCTCACGCAGATGGCTCAACTCAGTCTTCAGGTGCCCCTGGAAACACAGAAAGTGGCGAAATCAGCGAAGCATCCAAAATGTCTATCCCATGCACAGGCAGTGCGCTCGCGTGCAGAACTCCCTGTGTAATCTTAACAGGCAAGGGCCACATTCTCCTGAGCTAGTCTTGTCGCTTCGCGACAGGTCTCCAGGTGGGCCAACCTAGGCCGGGACAGAACGACATCATGTGCATCAGGTTTACACTTACACACGTGTATATATGATGTATAATAGCAGGTGTGTATATGATGTGTATGTGTATGCGTGTATATAGTATGGTATATATATATTATTTAATGATTTGATTGCGAACTTTGAGCTTGCAGCTCCTTCTCCTGCAGTTCACCTTGCAGCTCCCTCTTCTGCCTGAAAGGGTTCACGTGTGATGTTGTGCGCAGGTTGTTAGGCAGAAACCGTCTGAGGCGAAAACTGCGCAACTAACCGCCCAAGCGTGGCCTTCAAGTGCCCCTGCCACTGTGAGTTCATTGCAAGAACGTGGTACAGATTGGTACAGCCAAGTAACACCAACCACAGGGCTACTCACAATTCTCTACAACCTCCAGCCACGTCAGTCACCTCGCAAGAAGCCATGCAACCACCTGAATCCTCTGCACCTATAACCAGAGCCCTTCGAACAGTTCCTGCAAGGTTGCAGCCTGGGCCTCATATTTTGCGTGCGCTTAAAGTCTGTCAACCATCAAGCAATGCATTTGTGAGCAACAAGTGGTGAAATCGCCAATCAGAGCAGCCTGAAGCCTGAACCTTAAAAGAAAAGGCGTAAGGCGCAGCGAGTGAGGCTAGAACGATAATTTCACTCGACGTGGAAGGCAAAAGCAAAACTCACGCAGGTGGCACTCCGAAGCTATGCGTTGAAAACTGACCCTGGAACATGGCACGTCGATTCGAAGGTGCACCTACAGGTACAGTGTATACAGAAAGGGCAGCGTTGACTCGGTGGCGAAGAAGGCAACTGCGCTTGGGAAACATGCCAGTGTTTCGTTCTCTTGAGATAAGCGGGTAGCCTCTCTGCAGGTATGCGTGTGGGCCAGCCTTACAAGTCGTTCGCACCGTTGGCACTATAGCTTACCTCCTGCACACATCACACCACGATGCTGTCTTTTCGTCTGGGAGGCTCTTTTCGCTGAAGCTCATCCTGCAGCTCCCTGTTGTGCCTGCATACGATGTTCATGTGCACATCAGACTGGACGAACCGCTATCGAGAGAAGCGGCAGTCCTCTGCAGTTCCTGGATCTGAGATTCCTGCAGCGCTGCGGAGCGTTCGCCACTGTGCGGCAGTCGTTCCGTCCGCATGGCTTCACTACCACTGTTGAAGGAGACCAAGATGAACACAACTAGAAACAAGATGATTCTATGATTTTATAAGTAGCACAGCAGTGGACCCTTGCGCTCCCCGTGAACATCCGTGATGCCTCCTGCTGGACCTGCATGTTTGAACCCTCGATGCTAATCTTCTAAGGACACTCTTCGGATGAGCTTCCTTGTGCCGCAGTAGCTTCTCAGCTGCATTGTGCAACTCCTGAAAGGATTGAGGCAGGCTCAGGAGCAGACAAAGCATGCTCGCGCGCACAGGCAGTAAAGACGAACAGGCGCCGCAACTGCGAGTGTCCTTGGCCTCGGCTACGTCCTTCGGGCATACAGCTTGGCGTGACTATTTCGGAACATGTGCACGCGGCATGTCCACCGCTTCAGCGCGGCCTTCGGAACTAGGTAGCCAGTTCCTGGCAAACCTCGGACTCTGAATGGAAAGCGGTCTACGTAAGACTGCGAACATGCATCAAAACAATATTCAAAGGCATGTGTATGGGGCTCCCGCGTTTGTTGGCATCGGCCGCCTTGTGCGGGAGGATCACTCCAGAAACTGGTTTTAATGACTTGCGACACCTGGGCGTTGAACTGCCTCATCGCTAAACGATCTTCTTGTGGGGAAGTCTACTCTTGCGCATCTTACGCATTACGCCGCCGCGCATCGCATGTTTGCTATATCTGGCCAGCGTCACTCCTGTGCATTGCCTGGTTGAGCCTGTATGCTCAGCTGTCAAAGTTGTAACTCTGAGCTACCACCTCGACTTGCATGAAACTTCTTGCCAACGTGTATGTATCAAGACGAAACTGTATCCGCATTTCTGAACCTGAAGTCTCTCAAATTAGAGTAGGCTTTCGAGCTCAGATGCGAGTAGCCTCGGGGTTTGGGAAGACGCGGATAGGATGGGAAACAGAACTAAATCAGATCATACCCTCGACGAAGAAGGCCGGAACACAAAAGATGAAAGTGGAACCATCCTTTGCCCAGAATCAATGCTCACCTGGGTGACCATGTACCAATATCTGATTTGTTTGCCTTGATCACCGCCTTCTGCCTCATCTCTTACAGAGAGTTATCCCAGTCTTCCCTTTCCACATTTTATTCCAGCCACTATCCTTTCCTTATCGCCACTTCTTCCAGAGCATACATGGCCTTTTGGCTGATCATGGACAGGACGTGCCATCGAAACACCGGCTACTAGAGTCGCTAAAGCAAAGCCACAAAATGTCAACTTTTCATGAGCCCACCCAAGGCCTGGAGGCTACGCCGGCATTCGCTGTACTGCTCGTACAGCGCTTGTAGGCCCTGCAAGCAATGTCAACTTTACAGAGAGCCGATGAAAGATCTGCGAGTCTCCAAAACACATCGCGACGGAAACAAGAAATCTGCAATGCTTCAAGAGCGATGGTCAGCGCTTGCAACCCGACAGCTTACATTGATGCTTGTCCCGTGCCTGCAGTTGGCAGTCTCGCCGTTCAACTTGCTCGAGCAGGCGTGAGCCTTCGAGAACAACACCATGCAACACACACAGATGCCATCAGGTGCGTGGTATAAACCGGCAAGATACTCGGAGTCTGCCAGGTAAGCGACGCACGCCATCTCTGTACCAATGGCTGGCAGACGCCTGAAAGTATCGGATGCGGCAGGAACACAGAGGTGATGCGTGATCAAACGTAGAAAAGTAGAGCTGCAGCACTTTGAGAGCATCTGATCTGGGACGGCTGCTGTCAGTCTTCTGAGGCTCATGAGCCTCAGCAGCATACATCACGAGTGATGCAGACTGTTGGACGTGCTCAAGTTGAATCACAACTCATGACTCTACGGAGAAGCAAGTGAGTGGGACTGCAAAGGTACGAAGCCAAAAACCGTGGAGAAGGTGATCGACACTCAGTCTACACTCGTGCATTGCACCGAACTGAGCGGGCATGGGTTGCATGCCTCCTGGTCACAAGCTTCGGCGATGGATTGCTCAGCCTTTGCCGAGTAAAACTACATCATGTTGACGCAGCTTCAAGACTTGCTCTTTTAGTCTGTGTGTGTATACCTGGTCCTGCTCCTAAGAAGCCAGAGAGAACATTACTGAAAAGTCCTTGTGGGGAGTAGTTCGGCAATTTGCATCGTAAGCAGCTCTTTTGGGGCGTGAGACGACACGGCCCACCTCCTCGTCAGCATCCTCAAATGCCTCCACCATGAATGGGCAGGCCCCCAGCACGGTATCTGCATGAATGTGACGGTATTCGGAAAATGGCTACGCTCGGAGGACCACGAGCTTCAAGTTTACAGCGCGGTGTGAGATCAACGTGCTGTGGCTGCTTTCAAGACTTGTCAGCCTTCGTTTTCGAACTGGGTCTTCCATCGTGACAATCTTGACAAGCTTGGGGAGTGCTCCATGATCGGTGCCAGTTAGGTAAGCTACATCAAGCTCATTGGCAGATTGCACCTCTGTGCGAATAGAAGTGAGCCAGAGTAGCGGTAAGCATGTTGACCGGCTCTGTATGCCAGCAACATCCAGCAACCAACTAGTCAGCAGATGACCCTTGCAACATACAGCCTGGGATGCTCACACGTAACATGTGAACAGTATTGCTCAACGTTCAAGCTTTTGCCGCAGTTCAACTCGCGCTTGCAGTGGCCGTGGTTGTGCTCCGTGTCCGTCACCCTGCCCCACAATGTCGTCCTGCTGCAGGCTTCCTGAAGAGGGGCTTTGGCTCGCATGCACCTGCAAGGATCGGGTCCTTGTCGGCAACGCAGCGTGTCCTGGCGATATCAGCCTCGGCATTTGGTTCTAAACCGTCAGCCACAGTACTGACAGATACTCACAGCTAGCAGCAGCTTCCATTTCTGGTCGCTTTCGCCAGCACATGTGAGCAATGCTGAGCCTTGGACTTTTCTCGGGCAGCTTGCATGAAACGGTCACTTGGCTGTCAAAAAGGACGCCGTTGGAAGAGCAGTCATCAACCTGGAGTGCCAACAAACGGAACACATGGCAATGAAAGAAACCGCTCCGAATGTAGAGACCTGTGGTGAGATCTTGCTGTCGACAACGAGCATGCCCATCTCAGCCACGATTTAAGCTGCACTCACCCAAAAAGCTTCACTGTTGTTAAGCAAGAGCTTGGAGTCATATCTTAGCTGCCAGCTGGTGGAGCCAACATTGCGGCCGTGACATTACGGTTCTGGATCACCGTGAACACCTGAAATATCTACATCAACGTGCGATTGAGGAACTCAAGTTTCCATCACTATGTGTGAGTGTCTGAACTCACCGTTCTTTGACTGCAAGCACGGGTCGTGCACCCTAAGGTCGAAAGCGACTCGAACTGTGACATCCAGCAACTACCCTGGCCCCGTTTTTGGTCCGTACCGCTGTGCCACCGTGCTTCTGATCTGAGGCTGGCACGCGGTCCTCCATGGGAACAGGCTTTCCTGTGCTGTACCTTGACAAGGGAAAGTTTTTGTGCCACATTCAAATTCTGCTCCTGCCCGGGGGATCTCTCTGCGGAGCATCTGCAACTCACTCAGCACATGCAAGCTAAGACCTGCTAGGATCCCTGCTCCTCAGTGCACGGGTTCCTGGCATCCAGCTGCCGCAGTAACACTTGCCAAGAAGCATGCGTCATGCGGCCCATGCGGCCCTTGCGGCCATCGGCCTTCCTGGCTTGACATCCTGGCTAATGTTGCCCGCGCCCTCGAGGTAAATGAACCTGCAGCGCAGTGTGAAATCTCTCCTGCCACCTCCCTCTTTCTTTCTTTCTGCGCACTTAGCCCTCCCCCATTGGGGAGGACCTCCCTCTCTCTCTCTCTCTCTCGCTCTCTCTCTCGCTCTCGCTCTCTCTCTCTCTCTCTCCACACGCTAGGCCCCCCAGAGGGGAGCCGCCCCGGAGGGCGCGAGAGTCCCATGTCTGTCGTTTGCTGCTGTGCCCGCGGTTTTCGCGGGTGGCTGGACGGGCCGTGGGCCCAGCTGTGTTTGGTACCCACTCTGTGCCCCGTCGAAGTTCGGGTGGAAACTTTGGGCTCTACTGGTGCACGGCTCGGGTTGTGTGTGAATCGACTCTCTCGCTCTCTCTCTCGCTCTCTCCTGCTCTCCTTCCTTCCTTCCTTCCTTTCTTCTTTCTTTCTTCCTTTCTTCTTTCTTGCTTTCTTCCTTTGTGGCATGGGGACACTCTGCGCCGAGGCACGCCGCCGATGCCGCGTCTCCAGGAACTACACTGCCCGCGATGTGGCCGGTCTTCAGCCACCACAGAGCGTGCCACAGCGCCGCCCTGCCTAATGACCTCTCTCTCGTCCTTCCTTCCTGCGCACTTGGCCCGAAGGGGCGGTCTCGAGAAACGTGCTCAAGCAAGTCTGTTTGTTTGTGATATGGCGCGATGCACTGAGTGGAGTAGCCATAAGCATAAAGGGATTCCACTTCTCTCTTCTTCTTCTTCTTCGTCTACTTATTTCTTCTTCTTCTTCTTCTTCTTCTTCTTCTTCTTCTTCTTCTTCTTCTTCTTCTTCTTCTTCTTCTTCTTCTTCTTCTTCTTCTTCTTCTTCTTCTTCTTCTTCTTCTTCTTCTTCTTCTTCTTCTTCTTCTTCTTCTTCTTCTTTCTTCTTCTGCTGCACGCTTCAGGGCACCCCCTCTCTCTCTCCGGGATCGCGATGCTTTTTGCGGTCCGAGGCACTCAATTCGTTCGACATCATTGCCAACAGCCTCGTCAAAGTCTGTCTGCACCTGAGCACACAAATGCCTTGCACACATTGCCTAGACTGTGAAGCTTTTGGGGGTTCTTGGGTTCCTGATCTTTGGCATGAGCTCATTGGCCGAGACCCTCACGACTGTAAAGTTCATCAAGCAAGTCCTGGGAGTGCACCCACAGTTTCAAGGTGGATTAACTAACTCCGCATGGTCTTTTTCCTCAGGTCAACTTAGCTTGCAACGCGCCAGCCCTCAAGAAGGTTGGGTCCACGATGATCTCAGACCTCACTGCACCTAAGCGCTTGAACGGCCCAGCAGCTCGAAGTTTCGAAATCTTGCTGTGGGTGGGTGGCTTTGAAAACTTAATTGAAACGTCAGTTTGTTGATTATTAATGTGAAGACAAGATCATCGACTTCAGTGCATCCGCGAGGCATCCTGGCTCGCCTGCCATGTCGGACGAAATGTAATCTATGCGGAGCATCGAATGCAACAAAGAGAGCCACTCTCGCTCAAGTCGAGAGCCAAGCGTGTCCGATGCACAGCACTGCATGCTCTTGCTATGGGTGAGGACGGATCCTGGTGCGAGCCTGTCATCTCATGTTTTGCCTTGTATTCCTGCTTTACATGACTCATGACACTGCCACAGAGGCCACGACCCATCTGCCAGGAACCTGGCTTGCACTTTGGCCCGTAGCGCTGCGATCTCGGATGCATTCCTGTCAAGAAAGCAACTAATATGTTGATTGCATGTCGAATTTCGACCCCGGGTGGTACCAGCCAAGTCGCATTCCTGCGGCGGTCAGCGCTGCTTCGTCTAGCTCTGCAGTCCCGTCTCTGAGAAGTGCTTTAATCTCATCATCAGAAAGACCTCCTGTTCCATTGCCACTGCCCAGCACGGCTCCACCCCCAGCAGCACCCAGCGCATCTGCATCGGTAGCGCTGCCCGGCAAGTGCTGGAAGCGTATACCCCGCCAAAGACCAGCTCCGTTGGCACCCTGGCCCGAGCCTCCTGGGCCTCCTAGCCCTGCGCCTGCAAGGCCTCCTTGGCCTCCTAAGCCTGAGCCTGGGCCGAGGCCGAGGCCGGCAGCCTCAAGAGCTCCAACACCACCCGCTGCCAGCAAAGAACGCTGCAGCTCCGCTGTTGAGAGGTCACTGGCTGTGAGGCGAGCATCACTTGGAGCTCCACCATGTGCTGCCTGACGTCAACGTCCAAAACAAATCAAAACAGTGTGCGCTTGAGAGCAAGAGAGGACGCGCCACAACAATACTGGTATGATCAGTCGTCAAATCTGTAGCCACGTTGCATGAGGAGCGGCGAGGCCACTCGCTGCCACCTTTTTGCGGGCCTTGTGTGAGGCATCAGCTTGCTTCCAGCATGCCCGAGCGGGGGCATTAGTGGGGCCTGTGCGGCTGACTACAATTACAAGTGCTGTCGGATTTTTTCAGCTATCCACACAGGAAGGCCGGACCGCTTGCGATGGCATAAGGTGCTGGCCATGCAGGTGACAACGGCTACGCCGTTCAACAAATAACCATGGTAGGGGCACCTCACATCTGGAAGCCTATGCTTGCGGCTACGGCAGGCATCAACTCTTGCAGCAGCCAGGCATCCGCAGATTGCAAGCTGCTTGCTCAGCCAAGGTGCTCATCCACCATCCTTTCAGTGTGCTCAAGATGTAGGAATGTAGGGCAACACAGCACTCCTTTCAATGCCAAGTAAAATTCGAGGCGAGGCTCTTATTGATGGAGCCCTCAATGAGAAGTGAACCTGTTTCGGCCAGGAGCTTGTCCACCTCAAAAAGCAACGCAACGAATGGCAGCGCAACGCAAACCACGAGAAACGCGAACTTTGGTCCCGGCATTCAAATCCTGCAAACATGGCACCAGCGGTCGCCACGCAGAGGCCTCATTTCCAATTTAGATGAAACTCAAGGCACGGATTCCCCGAGAACCAGAGGCTGCTGCATTGCACCCCATCGCGTGTGGATCGCACTTGGCGGTGGCCTATGACATCATGTGTAGAACAGCGGATCAGTTCTCAGCATGGGTCCAACTTGACTTTCTGCATCTAAGTTCACAGCCAGATGTTCGTTGATCTTCCAAATGCGCACGAACTCCTTCCAAACAGCATTGTGACGTCCCAGCGCGTGCCCAGTCTCATTAACCAATGCAATGATGCCACATTTCGGTCAGCTACAAACTTGCTAAAGTTGCTGGAAGAGTACAGTGTGTGGCAAGACATGAAGTTTCAGCTTGCATTGGACCGTTGTGCCGGGCTTCGGGTTTGAAAGCTGATACCTCGAAAAAGTTGAGTGCAGGCACAGGAGAGGCCATGAGGACTCATGAGGAGACGGGCAAGGCGTGGGAACACAGCGTGAACAGAAAGCACAACGAACGTGGAAAAAGAGTACTCTCAGCGCATTTGCTCTCATGGCTCAGCAAAACGGGCAACCAATGGCAACCATACAACTTGCACAAAGAGTTCTTCGGCGGAGCCGGGTCCTTGCTCCAGAGGTTGTCGTAGTCAGTGGGGTGTACTTCGATGGTCAACCTCGCTGCAAGGCACTGCAAGGAGCAGAGAGAAGACAGAGAGAGACAGAGAAAGATAGAGACAGACGGAGAGAGACTCCATGAGCATCCCCGCCACTCTTTAAGACGACAGCTCTCGCAGTCTCACGGACAGGGCCATCGGCCCCACTATCCAAGCTAAACCGACAAGATATGGGAGTTGCACAGGCCAGACTCGGCAGACCTGCATAGTTGAGCTTCTTCCTGCTGTGGGTCAAAGACCTGTAGCTTCGAAGTGGCGGTGCATCCGGCCTGCCATGCAAGAACTGTGCGGCTGTACTACGCTTTGCTATGCTGCACTTGTGTACCCTGGCCTCTTTGCACAGGAGTGTGGTGTTCACGGCTCGCTGCACCTGGCTGGCCACATGTTACGAGCACCGCACGAGTTTTGCAGCTTCTGTAGTGGTTTGTTTCCGCAATTCCTTTTGCAGGGTTCGGCTTGTGGCCACCTCCGGTCTTGGATATCCTGGATATTCCTGTTGCTGCCTCTTGCTGTCACTGCGCAGGTGTTCAGAAGGCGAATGTGCCAAGGAGCCCAAGACGTGGACCCGGCAGAAGTTTCAGCTAAGCGGGCGCCGATGCCAAAGGGAGGCCTTACTAGCAGCGATGCATACGCTGAGGTCGTTCGTGCATTGTTAGTGAGCAGTTGCGGTGACATCGACGGATTGTAGCTGCAGGAACCCGGCAGCTGTGGCTGGCCCATGCCTTGACAGGCAGGAGTTAAAGCCAAGGGATGTTGTATGCTGCTGAATGTTAACTGAACGATAGTGAATGTAGTATAAAGTCATTTCTTAATAAGTCTTCATAACTTAATAGTTTGCTGTTCGATGTCAAGACGAATCGGCAAGCTGCCGTTGTACTGGAGCACCGAGTTGTCGAACCATCTGGCAGCCTGTGTCAAGTCTGATGACATGAAGAGTGATACTGGAAGTCTTCAAACTTCACAGCCAATCTATATACAGCTGCCAAAACGCCTGGGCATGCCTGGGCCTTGTCTCACATATCTCCCATCACTCACCACTGATGACTAGAGGTACGAATGATGCAGTAGTGCTCTCATGTCACGCGCACACCATAAAAATCTGCAAGCCGAGAGCTGGGGAAGCAAGCCCGGCCTTCAGCCCTTTCCGTGGAACACCATCACCTTCGGTGTTAATTTCGCTCGGGGACATTTCAAAACTTGGCCGATCCTCTGGTTTCAAGGCGAGATTCACAGACATCAAGGACATCAAGGACATCAAGAACTCCGGGACCTTGAGAGGACGCTGAGCTCGCAACCACTGGTGGTGTAAGGCTGCATGAACCTGACTTCTGATAGCACTTCCACAAAGCACTTCCACAAACTGAGCACGGTTGTCTGCAGCTCTCCGCCGGCAGCTTTTTGCTGAGGACAGCTGCTCGGTGTTCGAGTACTGCCAGCTCGGCTTCGGCCCGATTCGGTTTGCTGGCCTCTGGCCATGCAATGGCACTGTAATGGTGCCCAACTACAGAGGCCACATATGGCCACTTCTTGTAAGTGCTGGGCACACTCGCTGATCCTGGCCAGAAGGTCTGCCAAGCCTCCTTGGGGCCTGGCACAACCAGACCAGACCAGATGCTGCAGGCAAGATCCCAATATTGACGGAGAAGCCCGAAGTGCCCACCCATAAGAACTTGTTTAGAAAGACAAAGGAATCTAAGAATCTCCCAAGCAGGAATGTACTGAAGTCCTCCACACACACATGCTTTGTGCACGCAAGAACACTGGATCTCCTGCGGACGGCGTCTCGGCAAACACTTGCGACTGTGTCGGAACTTAGGCGGCGCGAGTGAGACACGCTCTGTCACAGTGAGAAGTCGACATTCTGTAGGAACCTGGGGCTCGCACCCGAATCCGTCTCAGTGTAGCCGACTAGGCCCAGGTCGTCTCCGGCATTCGTATAGGCAGAAGCCTGCAGCTATCTGCAGCACCATCGCGACGAAGGGAACCTTTTTGTTGCACGATGCTTGTAATCGACTGTTCTGTTGTCCTCATCGTAGGTGGACTCTCCGAGGCTGAAGGCATCGAAAAAGTGCGGAGACCTTGGGACAACATGAGAGAGAACACAGGTGTACATTAAGTGATTTTTGATTCAGGCAAATATTTCGAGAGGCGATAGTCTGAGCCTTGAGATGCGCCTTAACATGGGGCCAAAAAGATTTATAAACGGGGTGCTGTGCTGCAAAATTTCGCCCCTCGAATGAATCGAATTTGCCCGGTTGTGTCAGTACTGGCCATGGGCGACAGAGGTCTCAACACGGCCGGGCCAAGTCTTTCTATGCCTCAGCGTTTGGTGGCACGCTTGCTCCAATCCGACGTCGGCATTGCTCAAAGATGCTGAGAAGCTTGCCCACATTTGTCACTGTGGCCGCATCAGTCTGGAGTAGATCTGAGTCGCGTGAGGGCAGAGTTGCGACTGAGTCTCAGCTTCCAGAAATATGCGAATCAGTGGAAAAATCTTCGGGCAATTGGTCAATGGTGCCGGAAACATCTTTCATGCTACGTCAGATCCCGAGTGTGTCATGGTCCAGGCTGCCAGCCAGCACTGTCGACGGCCGGAATCTCGGAGTGTTGAGCTGTTGCACTGTCCCTCATGTAACTCCACACGAAGCAGAAAATTTCAGAAAATCCAGGACTAATGCCGACTCGCTGGACTTCCGCCGCAACACAGCAAGGGTCGTCGGAAGAGTCCTGAAACGCATCCTCTGTGTAGCTCTTGAGTCTTGAGTCGGACAGTACCGGTACTGCCATATGCAATGGACATACAATCGGCAAACCGGGCAGTGCATCATTCACAGACATGCAAGCAGCAGCGAAAATGCAACGAGGCCACGCCGCAAGCGCAATCGAAGATATGCATCTATACCTCGGCCAACTGTGAAGTGATGCGCTCTAAATTTTCTCGAATGGCTGAGTGCTCGGCATTTCGGTATCAGGACGATGGCCACTGAGTGGCACGAAGAGCCGCTAAAGCCACCGGAGCGGAGCGCGAACTACTCGATTGCCGAAGCTGTGGCTTCACACTGGCTTCCCCTACCATACCACAATATGCGCCACGACTCAATGACTGCAGTGGTACGTTGTCAGACGTTCACCAGGTCTTTGGCTGCGAGCTGATGGGGTTTGTGCACCAGAGGTGGACCAAAGATCAAGCTTTGGCTGCTCCTATACTTCAGGAGCGCACCTCAAACTGGAGAGCCTCCGACGTGTCTCGACCGTTATTCAGACTGTTCTTCAGTCTGTAACGTCGTCTGACAGTACTCCCATGTGCGCCCAGTGAAACGCTTCAGGATGATTGAAGTGCTCCGAGCTACCTCATGACTTATGCCTTGTACATCTTTCTACGTTGCAGCCCGAGGCCGAAGATCCATGTCTGCATAATTCTGCATAATTCTGCATAATTCTGCATAATTCTGCATAATTCTGCATATGCCACATATGCAACTGCGAGACTGGTCCCGACTTTGAGGACCCGAGGTTTGGCGATGAGATGTCACTGGCGCTGAACTTTGGCAGCAACAGACATTCAACACGTTTTGGCCGTGCTGGAGATGTCCGTTAGGGCCTTGAAGGGTCAAGATCAAGCTTGGCACAGACATTCTTCTTCATGACATCATGACATGCACAAGATGACTTTGATACACCTCGAGGACAACAAGTGGCCTGCGTCTGGCTGTGGCACTTAACAGCCGGACGGCGAGCTAAAGCTTCAAGTGTGTGCTTTGCTTGACGATGGTTTCTAGTGGTCAGCTTCTTGCCGCGCACACCTTTGCCGGGCAGGTTCGACCGCTGGTGCGGAGAAGGAAAAATGGGCAAGACCTTTTTGTCAGGACTGGTGGGTGATGGGCACAATCAGCCACCTATCTGACAAACAGCTCACGAAGGGCAGCTCCAGAAAAAAGAACTATATCTTGTGTTGCCTCTTTTTATAGGCGTGTGCTACTCGCCATTTTGAATGTGCAGTCAGTGATAAAAAGAACCTTTTTGACACTTCGGAACTAGCAAAAACTCAATGCCTCGTAGGGAAAATCGGCCGCATTCCAGATGAATGCCAAAATCATTCCAAAAACTGCACTGGCAACTGGTCAGTCTCTTGGTGCACCAAGGGCAGCACCAACGTGACCTGGTCGAAGCCAAATGCAGCGCGAGTGTGACGGGCAAGCAGGGGGCCTTCTCCAGCAGCTGCTTGTTGAGCCGCAGCTCACAGTCACTCATGGTCTCCTGCACTGTGCCGTTCCCACGTTTGGCCCAGTATAGCTTCTCCACGCACAGCGCTTGATGGAAATTACAAAGGTCGACGTTCGGCTCAGCATCTCCAGCCTGCGGCACATGGCGTGCTCTGGCCTCAGTCCATGAGCGTTCTACATTGGCGCACCAAGGTCTCATTCAGCTGGGGAGTTGGCTGCGATCTGTCGCTCAAGATCTTTCCGGTGGTCGCGGACCATTTTCCTGGCCCCCACGTCACGTGACACGTCAGTTGAAGCTGAGGTACAGTAGAACGCTAGATGTTTGACGAAAGACCGTTGTGACACTTAGCTGAGCTGCCTTTCCACGTGCAGCATGTGCTTGACAAAGCATTTAATCATGCCATCCACACTTTTTTCGGTCCAGCCGTTCTTGCTCCTGAGCCTGGAACAGGTGTGCAACACGGCTACTACACTTCCTATTTGCCCACGACATTGCTACACGTCTCATCACAGAGTCAGACTGGATGGCAGGGCACGAGCATGCCTCAAGCTGCTTTGCCTCAGCTGCCTGAGCAGAAGCCAGCTGCCTGTTCCAAGCACAGCAAATCTTTCATGAGTTCAATGCTAGGATCAGCAAACGTGCGAAATCGTGGAAGCTTCAGCGCGGGCAAAAAGGGCAGATGTCTGACTGGACGTCACACTCACAGTGTGCTGGAGCGAGACGCTATTTCAGTTGCCTTGCTTTTTCGGCCTCCGCTGCTTTCTTGAGCTGCTTTTCCTTTCGTGGGAGGAGATTCGCAAGCACCCGCACGTGCGTGAGGTGGAATGCCAGCGCGGAATCGGATTGCATGCGGTGGAACGAGAGTGGGCTCTGACTACTGACTTTGCTGGTATGTTGCTCTCTGCTTGCGTTGGCATGCATGCTCACGTGCAGTCACAATTGATCACCACAGTCGGCAGGCAAGCGGCCTTCATCTGCTGCAGCAAATACTCCTGACAGATGGTGCAACATGACCCCCACCTGACTGATTTGGAAAGAGCCGGACACAACTTTCCCCGCGGCATCGAGCGCAGGGCCTGTGTCTGACACTTCATGTCCTCCAACTTCTTGCGGGAGGCCTTAGCATTCAGAATCAGTGGCATACTGAATCTGGCCTGCAGCTGCTATCGAAGGCCTGCTCCTGCTGCTCGGCTGCAAGCTCCTCTGATCGACAGCCAATCAACTCTTGATTCGCGATTGCCGCTTGAACAAAACTTGCGTCTCAATTTGCTTCTCTCCTTTGCCGCTCGTTCTGCTGCAGCTTTCAACTCGGTGTCGTCTGCCATTTTCTGCATGGCCATGGCCTGTGAACATGATGTCTGCAGAGTCTTTGTAGAGATCTCAATGGAACCTCATGAAACCTGATGAAACCTTTGATCTTTCACAGGTCCATCAGTCCATCCAAGTCGCCCGAACACCAGCATTCTTCTCAATCTCTTTTCTCTGCGCAGCCTCCTCGTGTCAAAGGCTGATACAACGCCTTTGATTGCAGACCTTGGACATACCTTGACCATCCGATCATCAACTCAATGGGTCCTTTTCTGCTGCTTCTCTGCGCTTCTCTTCGCGTTCAGCTCTCAGCCTTTCATAGGCCTGAACATGACAACGCTCACAACTTTACTTTGGTAAGTTAGGGTTTCGGAGCAATATTTTCGTGGTATTCCAGATGCCCTGCTTGCGAGAAACCCTGGCCCACGCTTGCCCCAGTCGATTTGATGTTGCAAGCGCAGGCGCCGCCAATTTCCAGCGGAAACACAAAAAATGCGAGCCCAGACATCCATCACCTTGCTCTGCAATCCAAACGAAGGTGGGCAAAGGCTTTGCCGACGGGTTTGATCTTTGGAAAGCAGTTTTGTACAAGGGCGGCAACGAAAGCACAACACTGCCTAGTCGATGTCGGTTTCATGAGTTTCACGCTCTCAAAAACCTTTCAAACAACTTTTTATGTGCTACAGGGGCTAGTGTCGCAGGTAGGCCAGGCAGCTCTGCACATAAGATCATGTAATCATCCGTTCTAAATGCGGAACTCTGCTGAAGCGCTGTGGTCACCAATGACTAGGACTCGACTTGAGTAGAGAGCGAGGGCCATCAGAAAGAAGAACCACACACACCGACGCCAAACGCACGCCATGCGCACGCGCGCGCATCTTCTTGTGCAAACACACAGGGCAGCAGCACCTCGACTTGCTGCTGCTCGTGGAGCGCCAGCTGGTCGGCCTTCGCCTGTAACTCTAACAAACAAAGCAAACCCTTGTGCTGAGCCCAACCACAATCCTGCCTTGCGCAGCTTTGATGCTTCCGCCGTCTCTGCAAAGGCCTGAAGTTGAAGAAAACAGCTTACAGCGACAGGCGACATCTGATCTGCCCCTTGGCCTTGTGGACTTGATCTCGGCGAGCTTTGAGACGGTCCTGGCGTTCACGGACCAGGCTGATCCACTGGCACGCACTGCGCTGCGCAGTGTTTGTCTGTCTTGCTTTTGTTTTAGGAACCGAGGGCTCTGAATGGACAAGTCCTCGGCATCTTGTCGGTCACGCATCATGTCACGACCTTGGCATCTGCACACTGCATGAACCCTTTTAAAGGAAGAGGTCTTCTCTGCCTGTGTGATCCTCTATGCAGAGACCCCGCCACGTCTGAGATCCTCTGAGAAGGACACTCAAACAATCCATGAGCTCTTGCCTTTCAGCCTGCTGTCGCTGCTTCTCCTGCGCAGTCACAAGGCGAAAAGTTTCGGAAGCAAAGTACAGAATGAGGGCATGTCGCTCAGGGGCAGTACATATATATATACAGATACATATTGCAACATTCCACAACGCACGCGCACAACGTGCGCACAACCATGTGCAATCTCTCAGCCAGCGTCCTCCTCCCTCTGGGATCTGATCAGGGCCAGTTGGCCATCCCTGTCCTTCTGCGTCGCTTCGATCTGCACCAAGGGGCGAAGAAGCAGGGAGCTGTTTTGTTCGTTCAAAGCCCCCTCCCCCCCTTCCCCAAGCTGAGGAGGAGTGCAAAGAAAATAGAGGGGAAAGGAGCCATTCCCCTGACCACACACCCCCACTGCACCCACTGGTGCTGGGGCTGCCTTCCGGAGCCGTGCTGAAGCCCGGGCCTCGAGCTCCATCGCCCTCGGCATCTGCACGTTCTTTTTGTTAACACATGGTGGTTCCCCTGGAGTGGAGATGCGTCAGCAGCCAAGGAAACCTTGATAATACATCCTCACACACAAACTCATGGAGCATGATGGCAGCAATCGGAACTTTCTTCGGCTCAAAGGGCAGGAAAATCAAGCCGAGTATGACGGTCAGAAATCATCATGCAGTCAGGTCTCCGAATCTTGGAGTGCTCTTCCTAACCGGCGTTCCACTCGGTCACTTACAAGGAGGAGAATCCCATGTGAGAGGCTCAGGTCGAAGTATGTACCGAAGATGAATATCAAGGGTGACACAACATCAATACTAGTAAAAATGGCAATGTTGTTTTTGTGCATTGCGATACCGCGTTTAATGTTATGAAGAAGAGTAAAAAAAACTCTTAGTCACTGCAGTGTATGCTTTCCAGGTTATCAGCCAGACATCCCGGTCCTGAATCTGAAGGTAACGCTCTTCCTCAGCCTTTGCACGCTCCTGCTGGCAATCCAAGCTTGACAAGATACTCACCAACAGTCCCAACAGTCAACAGTCACCGTCGCCCAACACCCAATCAGTCCAGAAAACAGGTGCGAGCACATGCGAGCAAGCACAAACGGATCCTAAAGCCGTGGCAAACACCTACAAACTAGCCCGCGCAGCCTTGCAATCTCCCTCGACACAAGGCGCTTGGATCTGCTAGCTGGCCTTTTGTTACGGGCAAGAACAGGTTTGAAACAGATCTGCTGCATCAACTTGTCTCTGTTGCTGCTTTGTCACGATGAAGAGTGCGACGTGGCTGGAAATTTGGGATCCCAGTCCTGCTTTAGCTTTTCGTCCGCCATCTGTCTGTCCAGGTCCTGTCGAAGCTTCTGCTTCAGCCTCACGTCGAGACATGGAAGGCATGCTGCCATCAAAGCTAGAAACGGGCATGTGACACGCAGTAGATGTTAAGGTCCGGAACTCCAGTTCTCTTTGTTTGGCCCGTTGGTTATCCTGTGGGCAAAAGCAGCTCCCGATGACAAGTCATCCAATCTGCAAGTCTGCAGATGCTTCCCGCCGGCCTGTTTGTGCAACTCTGCAGCCAATCTATCCAAGACAGACCTCACACATGGCACCATAGATTCCCAAAGGTGCCAAATTTTTGTCCATAGAGGCCACGGCCACTCTAATCCGTCTTGTTGGGGCGGCCTTTGGAAGAAGCACCACATAGAGAAACTATCCAGTCCACGCAAGCGTCGCTCTGTCGTGGTGGTTCGTCTTAGTGCTGCACGGAGCCACTTCCAGATCTGCAGGAGCATGGCGAGACATGTTTTCGAGAAAAAACAGTTCCTTAGTGCGGACCAGCCTTCCCGCTGCTCACCGATAGCCGCCAGTCCCGGAGTGGCAACGGGGGCTGACAAGTAAGCCTCACGGACCAGCAACATCGCTTCATGACTTCGAAGGCCACTACACTCGCTACATTGGCCCGCTCCACTCCCTTGTTCCTGCTCGGTACAATCGAAGACGGACAAACACAAGAGCTTCCATCTGACAGAGAGAGAGAGAGAGAAAAAAAAAGAGAGAAAAAAAGAATAGAAAAGAAATGAGAGATGGACAGAAAGGGAAAGGTTTAAACTAACTTAAACAGAACCTTTCACGAGGGTGAGATGGAGGGAAGCCAAAGTGAATTCCAGAGTAACATACCATACCATGCCATAACATACCGGTAGGGAGGGAAGTACGGTGTCACGGAGTAGATGGGAGTGCTGACTGTCCAGGCCACCGGCCAGCTGCACTGGCCAGCTGCACTGAGGTCAACGCAGCATCGCCCAGCACTGAAGATGGCTTCTCGGACTTCTCGCTGACATCTGCACATCACAAACGATCATGAATCATGAGCGTGACGAACTGCTGGTGAAGACATGTGAAGGACCGCGACAGAAACGTTCGCTTCCATTGCCCAAGCAGCCGTGATGTACATGAAGGCGTGTCGACCGTGTCGACCAAGCCTCTGCTTCTCACAAGAACTCCTGGACCCCGTGCCGAGAGTGCGCCGGAACCTGCACGAATCACTCCAAAACGTCCTACCAATACTGCAGACAATGAGTGCAACTCTTTTAGGGCCGTAGGTCCTGTTCAGGAGGTGCAACCAAAAACAGAAGCTGGCCCAGATCCCCATCCCGGTCCCCGACAAACGAACTTGATGAGGCTAGCTCACGGTACTGTGTAGAGTCTAGAATGAAAAGTGCACCCAACTCCTGTACACATGTGAGCTGTGCCAGTGTTCGTGCACATGCTTGAAGTTCATCATTGATTTCGAACCTCATCGCCCTTCAAACGTATTCAGTCGTCTAGCTGTGGCAAGTGAATGACACGTCGGGAGGCCTGTGAGAGAGGACTTTTGCGGGGTTGGCAGCCTTGCCTGGAAGCGTCCCCAGTAATCATTGGGCAATGTGCAGGACACTTTGCAGAAGGTGGGCCACACCATGTCATGTCAAGTTGAGAAGCAGGCAGACAAAGGTGCTGTGCCAGCTCCTGAAATATGCGCGGAACAGAAGACATCGTTTGAATCGTTTGTAACCTTATTTCTGGAGCAATTGCCTAAACGGTGAATCCAGCAATGGCAATTGCATTGGCATCACTGTTGTGTAACAGTGACTGTCAGTCCCGCTCGTTTGTCCAGCGGGGTGCTGCCTGTTGTGTACCTGCACAGAGCTCTTATCAGACATCAAAGTCTTTATCAAGGGATCCCACACCGATGTGAAAGCCTTAAGGCCACTTTGCAGGGCACGCTGAGACGCTGTACGATGAAATCGCATCATCTTGTGTGGCTGTCCTTGTCACTGATCCACTGCACAAAGCTGCGTAGAATTGCATCAGTGTTGGACATTTTGGGGCTGAAGCTCAGTGGGGAAAAGCGGTCATGCAGAGCCCGAGGGAAACTAGGGCACGTGAACTTCTATGACAAACCTACAACCAGCTGCAGCCATAGCAACAATGACAGCAACAACTCGATCAATCCCCACACAAATTCAGGATCTGAACCATTTCGTCAGCGCATGCCAACTCAACAGCCTTGTCGAGCGATGCGAGGTTTCGCCGTGTTTTCACAAGCTAAGCTTGGCACTCAGGCCTCTCCAAGTTCTCGTCCATCCGTGCCACGTTGGCCTCTCAGCTTCGTTCCAGCTTTAGCATGTCACAGCGACGCTTTAGCTTCGGAATCCCAATTTACTGCCGCGTCCAATGGTTGTACTTCCGACGCCTCTGTCACCGGCACGACGTCACTATCTAGGAGCTGCTGCTCCTCGGACTTGGGTATTCATCAGGCGTCTCACAACATTACCGCGGATTTGACTTGTCACAAGCTTGCCACGATGCTGCCGGTTTTGTCAAGTGCTTCAATTTTGCCTTTTCTGCCCTGACTACAACGTTCCTGCTAATTTCGCAGATTTCGAAGCTGGCTGGAGCGAAAAAGCGTGACCAAGGAACCTACTGTAAAGACATGCAAGGTTTGCTGCTGCGCTGCGATGCTGATTCACAGGAGGACCGACATGGAGGACTGGATTGCTTAGCAATCGGGTCGCAAAAGTTAGCGGTCTCCTGAATCTCTTTCGCCACGGAACTTCAGGAAAAACGGCAAAGCTCGCTGCTTTGCATCCTTGCCAACGCCCTCCGTCCTGGCACTGGCCTTGTTGGCCTTCAGTCCAGTGTTCCTATCGGCAGTCCCTCTCTAGCTCAGCTTCCTTTTGCAAGGCACTCGCCCGTGTTGCTTCGGCAAGACAGGAAAGGCTAACGAAGATCACGCGATGTTGATTTTGTGCTGGAATTGGAACGTGCCTGGATCCACAAGGACGAGAATCGGTTTGGACGATGATGTAGGTTACCCCAAAAGATTCCAGTGTCATTGATAGCTTCAGTGCGCCAGACGTGTTGCTAAGCCTATTTCTCAAATCTTGTTGTGCTCTCGACCATTCTTGGCTAGCACCACAGCATGTGGTGCTAGCCTAACCATTGGACATTGTTTCTCAGTTGTGCGAGGCTCCTATGGAAATACTCTCTGTGATTGACTGGACGGTTATTGTCTGCACCGGGCAGGACTTGGCAAGGTATTGATGTCAGAGTACCATGACCTGGGAGACGTAAATGGCGTTGCAAATCTCATGGGGTTCGTTGCCCTCATCGTTCTTAAAGCCGGGAACCTTGTAGTGCTGGACCTCATAATCACTGTGAAAATGTGGCTCCAAGGCTCTAGCCACAGATTGCTTACGGAATCTGATGCTCAACAATTCATAGGTTTCAAGGCCAGGTTTGCTGGCACTGGGCAAGCGTCTGCTGGAATGAACAGAAATCGTCGTGTTTCCTCTACATGGCTTGAGCACTGCTTGCCCCACCTCAACAAATTCGCATCCAAGCTCATCGCTGAGGAAGACACAGTGGGACCAAAGGTTCTTCAAGCGAAAAATGCGCGATTGATGCCACGTGAAGAATTTGAACTCACTGCTCTCGCTGACTCTGGTGACTCTTTTGGCTTCTAGGCTTCTAAATGGCTCCAACAGCTTCTAGCCTCAGCCTTATCGGGCACGGCTCCCAGGCTTCCTACTTGCGCGATTTTGGGGGCAGGCCGAGATCTTGCAGTTCAGGCGTTGTGGATTTAGAGAGGCGTCTTCAAACAGCAACATCGCCAGACCTGAAAAGAAGCAAGACTGCTGATTTGTAGGTTCCAGACGACAGCATGAAGACTCTGCGGACCGAGAAACCTCAAGCGGGCTTGCCATCGTTTGCCAACTCACCACCGGCCCGATGGAAGCACTACTTCAACTTGTTTTGCGCCGAAGGGGCTTCTCTTTATACTTGGTGACGAGCAAGTCCTGGACGAAAGCTTCAGAAAGGCAAGTCTCGACAGCAACCGACACCTTTCTTGGTTGGATTGTGGGAAGCCTTCTCCGCTTCCCGGCTGTACATCTTCTCAAGCTTCTCTCGCCTGCTCAGCTCACAGCTTCAGGGCATTTCAGCGTGTAGAAACACAAGGCTCCACGTTCAAACTCGTTCAAAGTAGCACGATTCCAGCGCATTTCATCGCACAAAAGTGCACGGAAAGGAAGGATCCGGGCACGCCAGCCCACTCTGCCACCCATCCCATGGTCCCGGCCCCCCCCCCCCGCCCCCCCCCCGTGGTGTGGTGGTGGGGTGTAGCGTTTTAGGGTCCAGGGATGTGAAGGGTTTAGATGAGGTGTCCACTTTACACTTGACACCAGAGAGCCATTGTCAAAACTTGCTGTGAGTACACTGTAGACCGATGTGGAGCGCACAGTGCTCAACATGACATGCTCACTTCGACGGGGGAGGTATGATCATAAATGTGTCAAGCGGGCAGGATGACCTGGAGGTAGTCGACATCATCCTCGTGCGTGGCGGCCTGCGTGCTTTGAGGTGTGCTCGGCAGCACATAAAGCACGATCATGCGCACGGGCAGTGCATCTGGGAATGCAGCCTGGCGCTTGAACGCGGCTCCGCCGGCTTTACCATGGCCCTGACAATAGCCCGTCTGCACATCTGAAGCACTTGCATTTCGGACAAGATATTTTTGTGCCTGGACTGGGCTCTTCACGCATGGCCGAAGAGATAGCTCGAGCCCAAGCAAATGCAAAGAAGACATGACCTCAAGAATGTGAAGGGGCTCCATGCTGAGCTCGAAGCAGCGATGTCCAGCTCATGCCACAGCGCCCAGGATACTTTTATCTTCTCTGAATCGCAAGCAAGGCGAGAGAGACATGGCGAGAGCAGCCCCAAAGCTTCAAGTGTGCAACTTGTAAAGTCAGAAGCAGCTTCCTCGCGCCTGGAGTCGAAGGAGCTGCCGACGAAGCAGGCTCCGGTTCATTCGTCACTTGTTCCGAGTACGCCCACATCTAGTTGGATTCTCGGGTGCGGAGCATACTCGGACCATCTCAGACTGTCCACCACGGCATTGAAACCCAGGTCCATGTCCAAAGCTGTGGGACACCGAGTGCCGAGTGTACACCTCTTGTACACCTCTTGTACACCTTTGCAAGGCATAGGCCCCTAAGGCCGCCTAGGCGTAGGCCGGCGCAGGATCTTTGAAGCAACCTTGTACGAGTCGGCTCAGCCGCGTGCCGGCACTACTCCGGCACAGCGGGCCTTTGTAGCACACCCTTCCGTATCAGGTGTTCAGCAATCTCCAACGGGCTGAGCACCTTCAGGGCTCGGCTCTAAAGCTTCCTAAGCAAAAGCTCGCTGTGTCAAAACATGCCAGCCCAGACATGCCAGACCTCGCGTGCAAAAGACAGGCCGAGAGTTTGCTTCTGTGCGATTTCTCGAACTTCCTCTCCAGCAGACCACCTGGCAGTAGCAAAACTGGCAGTCGAGGCAAAAGCGGCGTCACAAAGTTCAAAACGCCACAGGGTCTCCAGATCGCCTGAAGGCTTCTTCGAAGGGATTGGGGAAGTGTCCTTCCTGACATGCTGTGGCTGTGGGCTGCTGTGGACTCTGGAGGGGAACTGTGAAGCTGTCCAAAACGAGTCTCACTTTGCAGCCGTGTGAGAGGTGAGAGAGGATTGGGTATGGTCAGGTGAGAAATGGTGAGTCCAAGCTTCGGCCGCGGCAGTGTACCATGCAAAGCAGTACGCGATGAGGAAACCTTGGACAAGAGAGAAGGATGGCTCGAGGTTTTTACAACATCAAGCAGCTGCTGTCGGGCCACTGCACCCTTCCAAAGGTCGACCTGATGTGGTTGCGGTGATGGGCACCTCAGGCCCACACATCACTTGGCCATTCTCAAGAAACTCTTCGATCCACCAAAAACCCCCCCAATCTCTCTGAGGCACTGGATGCCAGCGCAAGGACTCAGCCTCGGTGATTCAGGATGAGATAGCATGAGGAAACCCTAAGGAACTCCTCGCTGCCAACACGTGCTGCAAGGGAGCAATTGAACACCGTTAATTCCTCACAGCGCAGCTTTTGTTACATGTGCTACAACGAGGGAAGAACACAGACGGACAAAGCGTCGGAACAAGTGAGCGTGTGAGCGTGCATGTGCATGATGCCGTAAGAGCGCATGAGTGTACAAGCGTGTGAGGAACAGCGGAAGCGGGCGGAAGCATGGGCGTGGGCGTGTGAGTGGGCATTGGAGTGGGAGTGTGAGTAAGAGAGTCAGAGTGAACACTGCCCGGGTGGGGTGCGTCGATGGCTTTTCAAGCGCTTCTTGACTTCTACTGTCCACACCTGTCCACGCCTTCCTTCCGCTCAAGATGCATACAGTAATGTGTCGACAATGGCTTTTCTAGGTCATGTCATGTTCCATCCATGTATCCGAAGAAGAGCCACTTGGGGTTGTGTGAAAACCCCGTGTTAAATTCTCATACGCTAAATCACATTATCGTTTTCTTCGTCTCATCGTTTTCCCAAAAAACAGCTAGTCTATGACACTAGTACAAACTTAGTACTGGAATCGACGTTCCCGCGACTCGGCTGGAATTTCATTGCTTTGTAGTACAAGCTTAGTACTGGAATCGACGTTCCCGTGACCCGCCTGGATTCCACGAGCCGGCTCAACAACATTCTCGTTTTTTTCTTCTCACCGTTCTTCCAAGAAAAACCTCTATCCTGCCAACAGGGGCCCCGCCAATTCATATCGAAGCGGCGCGGGGGTATTACACAACCCCACTTGTGATGGCTTTCCGGTGTGTGAAGTGTATTGGGTGTACCAAGTGTACAAAGTGTATCAAGTGTACCAAGTGTACTAAGTGTACTAAGTGTACTAAGTGCACAAAGTGCACTGAGTGCACTAATGTGTACTAAGCGTGCTAAGCATACTAAGTGTACTAGTACTAATTCTAAGTGTCCTAAGCGTACTGAGTGTTCTAAGTGTACTCCCGCCCGCCAGTGCGGAGGTGCGGCTGACAGACCGCATTCTTCTTCGACGGCTCTGGCTGCGGCGACCTTCCACACGTTCGCATGTAGATTCTGTGACACTCTCTGGCGATGCCTTGTGAAAAACGACAGATCTTGCGCATGGCAGCACGCACGGCAACGCAACAGAGTGCCACCACAATCTGCCCAGTGCCGCAAATGAGCGGTTGGTGGAGACTACTCTACGCATCAAGACAACTTTTAACAAATCAACCACTCTCACTCTGTTGCAGAAAGGCCCAGACAACTGCAGCTTCGCCTGGATTCAGCCTTCAATCCGATTGAAGCAAGTCCATGCCAGCGTATGTGCCAGACTCGACACCGGTACAAGCCCTCACGGCGAAACTGAGCTCAGCAGGCAAGGTGATGACTCTCTCACTCTGCTCAGAAACACGCGTGTGCGTGCATCTTGCGAATGTGCAGAGCACAAACCACTTGCCTCACCAGTGGGAGGCCAAATTCCTGTCGTGGAGCTGGAAGTCCTGACAGCACAAGATGCCGCCAGCACTGAAAATTGATGTCGTGAACCTGCTGGCGATCTGCCCAGGGCCCTGCACCCTGAGGAACTATCCTGCCAGTTCCTGGACATGCCCATGCGCTTATACCATCTTGTACTCGCCTTGATCAAGCGGACGATTGATAAGGAGGAAGCGTGGCCGCCCCTCACCTGCCATGCTTCCAAGGGGGATGCTAGCTGATCCAATCACAGCACGAGCCCACGACTGATGCCTGGCTTGCATACAACTGCTGCGATGGCTGCCAAGCAGGAATCTGCGTTAGAGGCGAAGGGTCGCATCTGCCTGTGAAAGGGGGCTCACGTGATTTCATTCGTTCCGGGCGGGCGCGTTGTATCTGGTCGAAAATTGAGAGCTGGCCTCGATGCAAAGTGAAGACTCCGCAAGCTCCGCATTTGTTTTACAGCGGGGGGGGGGGGCAAGAATGGTAAGAAGCAACTCTGCACTTAAACAAGTAATTAGAGTTCAGCTTGGCAACCCTGACTTCCTCAGAACTGTAGAACTGAAGAATGTGGCTGTTGAGATTGAAAGTCTGAGCCTGATGTGTCAGCAACGCCCACCCAGAAGACGTCACGAGCAAGAGATTCGAAAAAAATCAAGCTCGCCCGCATGTTCAACGAAATTCAATACAGTAGCTTGCACAGCAACGGGCGAGAAGGGAGCGGCACTGGGAGCAATCACTAGATTCGGAAAGTACTGGCACCGCGAATCTAAAGTGCGTGAGCCAATACACCTTACTTGTTTCTCAGCTTCGCGATGAATCGAAGTCGCTGCGAGCGCTTTCAATTTAACACAGCGGCTGCTGAGCCAAAGCGCACGGCTCAACGAGCCCTTGCCTTCAAGCGCCATCGGCGCTTGTGCGGCAGATTGCACCCAATTGTGCGTGGACAGCTGCAAGTTGGACGCAGGCGATCTCACCGTCACAGTTGAAGATGCGCTGTGATAGGCATGAGACATATGCACCAAATTGCAGCAGATTCCATTCGGGAACTTGTCTCCCGCGTTCCACTGCCGCGCAGTGAATTGTCACACAGCCATTTCTTGCATGGGATATGCTCTTATCATCCGTGCAGCCACGTCACTCCTGCAACGCATACGACGCACAATCAAGTGGCACTGCCCCGCTGCCAACATGATGTCTAGATAAGGTATCCATGATACAATTATGAGCAGACCGCGACCATTTTTCTCTTTCGCCGGCCAGATGTCAGAAGAACCTTCCACCATGGATTGGCCAAAGCTGGCAAGGCGCTCAGGCGATGAAGGGTACAAGATGGTACAATAAATAAGCGATGACGGGTTGCCCACATTTTGCCACCTTTAGCGCACTTCAATGGCCGACTCAACCTTCTCTTCGACCCCGCCCTCGTCAAGTACAGCTGTACGAGCCTGCGATGCAGCTGCTTGGCGCATACCCGTTTGCTTCCCCATTGGGATCATTAGGCTGCATGCAACGAACTCGGACCAAACCCGAATCCGAGTCCCCATAACTTGCAGCTGCTACTCTGCATAGCACGACTCTGCCAGTGAACTCTGCAATGCATGCTGGAGCCTCTACGTCATCTTTCGTGAAGCCAATTCCAACCTTGCCCACTCATGTGCTGGGCTGAGGTTGCTCTGCTGCTCAGAATGCCATACATAAGATAATCTGAGTCGGTCGATTGCCGGGGCGCAATGTTCTGCAGGGCGGGCTGGCCTGTCCAAAGTCTTCGGCGCAAGCATGGTTCAAACCCATCCGGTTCGAAGGGAAAGGCTGGACCCTGCCGTCCTCCTTGTGCAAGTGGCTTCCACGGCTTCCAGAAGAGATTGGCAAAGCTGGACACCTCCTATACAACCATGGCCATCGTCACACACGCAGCGGTAAACCATGACCTGTCCACATTAAAGCACCGGCACATTGCAATCTACACGGAGATTTTTTTTTGCTTTTGCTCCTGCTCCAGCAAGCTTGTAGGTGCATGTGCCGGAGCTTGCGCCTGCGACCAGAACCATGCTTCCAAAGGTGAACGAACCCCGTTCTCACCATCCTGCAAGCAGCTCTGGTGCGTTCTTGAGTTATCTGCCTTGCCGACATCGGCAGACGATGAATCAGCCTCGGCAGGTTGCTAGCATAGCCCGGCATATACACAGAGTTTATACGCTGTACTTGTACATCATGTGCAGACCAAAACATCCAAAACACGAAGGCGACTTCAGCTCGAGGCTGCAAGCTGCAGAAGGCTGGTGGGATTAGGTCCAGGTC